GGGGTATTCTAAATGATAAATTGCGGTACTTTGCTAAGAGTAGAGACATTAATCAGGTGATTTCCGATTAATAGGAAGCTTACCCCCTCTCTTCCACCTGATTTTTTTGATTGGGTAAGAATTTTTAATCACCTGATTTTGATCTACACTTGATTTTTGTTCAGACCCCCTCCCTAAAAAATCACCTGATTAATGTCTCCATCCTAAGTCGTTAAGAATATTCATGATTTTCTGCATTGCAGAATTCTGGTTAGAATCACGTATATTAGCAATCGTGTGATAATAAATTTAGTTAAATGGAAATCACCTGATAAATGGCGATCCTCTTATAACTTTTCTGGCAAGTTCATATTTAATTAGTTCCTCAGAAGTTTTTTGGCTTTCGTATTGTCTTTGCAAATAACAATTTGTAGGTCTCGTGTACCAACATCTCGGCATAACGATATTCTTGATATAATGATGTTAAAAACTGGAACAGAGCAATGATGATATACCAGAAAATTGATTTAACATAATGGCTTGGACTTTTTTAACTCTTTGTTTCAGCATATTCTTTTTTTAGGCGAATTATTAAGAGTAATTAAAGGAGGGATAAAACACACATTTTCTATTTTAAACAATTGTTTCATTGACGTAAGTTTTCTTTTCCAAGCCAAATACCTACCAACAATCACAATAACTCCGGCCAGAGAAAGGTTATCAAGGCTAGTTTAGCAGAAGTGTTTGAGGAACTTGAATTACTGGCTTTTTACTGTTGCCATCACAGTTATCTATCCCTATTCCTGGTGATGGTGCATTATTAGTATTATTGTTGCTGTTACTACTACTGGTTCTGCATCAACAAGATAGGCTGCTTAATTTAACATTTTGGCCGAGTGCCATGATCATTTTTGTTTATGAGTGAGTGTTCCGCTAGGTGTTTAAACTAAGAGCTATTTGATTTATATATTATTAATTAATTAATAATACTCGTCTTTTGAAATTATTATCACTAATAAATAAATAATAAATATATACTCTACCAGATAAAGCGACCGTGATTAAATCATAAAGAAAATTACGAATATCGAGAGGCGATTCATTTTTCAGATATTTCTGATTGAATATAAGATTGCAACTTTGTCATTTACTTGAATTCTGAAAAAAAATTCCGGATTAAATTCGATATAACAGTGCAGATCACTTAGTCACCACAATTGTTCTCGGATTCTAATGTTTCTTCCTATCATTTTACTATATAGTGTTAAAGTGTCTAGGTCCAGGGCTTTATGGCAGTTATCATTAACAAATATACAGCCAAAAATTTCTATAAACTTATAAAAAATCCTTAATCTTTAAGAGATATAAACTGTATAAATAATATTTTTCAGACACGGGTCAATTTACTTATTTCCCGTTCACGTGAGATAATGCTGTATTAAGAACTAACGCAAGCGTTCAAAGTTCTCTTTATATTGTATAACCATGCCAACTACTTTATACCCGCTTTTTTGCATCTGACTGCATATGTAAATCACCTTCCCGACCACATCGACCACATTTTCGTAATTAGTGTACGTCACGTGATAAGTCGTTTGTTACGTCATCACTTTGTTACTAAATCGGTATTTTGTGTTATCTGGGCAATTGGTCACACCTTTCCCCCCATTTTCTTAGTGGCTAGAATTTTTGCCTAGAAACAATTCAACGGTAAACATTACTTCAAAGATTTTAAAGGTTTATATAATACTTGGAAAAAAGTTATTCATTATATTCGAGTGGGTGATTAGGTTCAACATATAATAAAATATACACATCGAGATGGCGTCACCACGAAGCTCCAGGGGTAAAGTAAAACAACGTTCAACTGTAACTCCTACTCGCTCATCACCTCGAATCATAAGAAAAGCAACATCCTATCCAAATGCAGTTAACAGACACTTTGTGGACAGTGTTCCCATTTTAGAGGTGACACTTCGATTTGACGAGGACGAATATGATGTTTGGCGCCGTCAAGACACAGATGAAGTGAACCTTTATTACATGCTACGCATTAAGTATCCTCGCGACGAGGACGAACAAGCCTGGCAACAGGAACTGGAAAAATTGAAAAAAGAGGTAACCCAAGTAAGAGTTGTCGAAGAAGGATGGTTCGAAGGTGTATGGTAAGTCATTCTTTATCGGTTTTTGGACGCGTGTCATGAATAATTATCGATTACGAAATAAATGTATACGCAATTTTATTTATCTGTTTTTCGATTAATTTTTTTTCAAATAGGGTTCCTCTTGAAAAAGGTAAATATAGAACGGGAGAGGGAATGGGATACTGAGACCCAGATTAGATGAAGAAATTAATTGTATATTGTAATTCTAGCAAAGGATATTGCCCGTAAATATAAAATATATGATCATGTCGCAGCATTACTCGAATCTGAGAATAGCTGGTTTGATACACCAAAATCCAAGCATGCACGTGTTAAGGTATAATTATTTTAGTTTTTCTTTTTCGTGATAAAAAAATATTTATTTTAGTATCAATAATTAACGTTATTTTTTATGCAGAGCGAAAGAAGCTCCAGCATATCTGAACATCCTAGCAATGCTACTAATGGCATCACGATTAATGGTTCCAGCAAAGAGATCCCATTGACAAATGGTAATAATAAAACAGAGATCAGGAGTGATCGTCAAAGAACTAGATCAATTAGAGGTGACAACAACAAAGAAATCAACAATCGAGAAATCACCATCAAAGACACGAGAGAAACTAAAGATTTTAAAGAATCCAGAGATCTTCCCACACGACTCAAAGAAGTGGAAGGAGAACGCGATCATTATATGGAAGAAGTAAAGAATCTAAAGAGGAAATTAACCGAGACAGAGAGTTATGTTAATACTTATAGCGGTAGCGGTAGTAGCAAAAAGCGAGCTGTTTTTGCTGTGATTGGAGCCGCCGCTGGGGCCGGTATGACTGCATATGTATTGAATAATATGGGAGTAGGCTTAAACGATATAGCAGGAGGATTTGCAAATTGGCAAGGAAAATTATTTGGATAAAATAATAAAATAATTATAATTGGACGAGTTCTTCCATTCATCATATATATATTACGAAGTATTAATATTAATTATCACGATCAAAATATTAATGAACTTGGAAAAATCGATACATATCCTTCGTTTTTTGTATTGAACTTATATCCTTTTTGTCTTTTCCTTATTTTCCGATCTTATTGGGATTAGAAATCTGTTGATTCTATTATAATCTTTAGTAGATATTAGATTCTTTGGGGCAATTGATAGAGTTACAAGATACAATGCTATGCGATACAGAGAAAGAGCATTCTATTACATCACGCACGCATGCACGCACTCATTTTCCCATTCACACTCTTTCTCACATAATCACGTACAGATTAATAATTAAGGCTAATAGTGATAAATCAGCAGTATCCTCGTGAAATTTTGTAAATTTGATATTTCTCCTTTTCGATTCCCCTTTTTAATTATTCCTTCTTTTATCTTGCATCTTCTTTACTATTATTTTATTATTTTACTTTATTATATAATTATGATTATTATTGTTATTATGATTGCCTTGTGTTGATTCAACTTTTTTTTTATTTTTTTTCTATCAAAAATACATTATATAATACATAAAAGTATATATTATTTTTTGTTGCGATACGCTACATATTAACTTTGGATATCATCATACACCTCTTTATATTGCATCTTTATTTTTCTTGTTTGCCCTCTATTCATGTAAATACCACGTACACGTGTAGTTCTAAAAAAAAACAAAAATTATTTCACTATTTGATTGACATTTTTCACCGTTTTTGGAAACTTATCGATTGGGTAAGTTTTTAACCGATGATAATCATCATTCATCATTTAGTGTTAGGTGTATTGTCGTTTCCGAATCTCAAATCACAAACAAAACGCCAATCGATCAGGGACCCGGAAAATTTTCATTATTACAATTATCACAATAAAAAGAATAGATCGGCATTTACTGCATAACGATGACGATAATGGCTTATCTGCTTATCAAGTTATCAACGTCTTTATCGAATTTACTGATTTAAATGTATTCTGGTTCGAGTTTTTCACATATAACAAAATTTAGCACTTAAACTCTCATATATGGTGTATTTTTTAATAATCAGGGAAATAAATTCTTTGTTAATTGATATTGGTACTGCAATATTGTTTATGCTAAACGCCATTGATTTCCCATCGTATTACAATTTGCTGATTTGCAGACTGTGCATTCTTTGTGCATTTATAAACACCAATGACTGGACGCATGCATTTTTCTATTACACGTCACTGCATGGACATGGCATTATTATATCTCGCATAAGAAAAATATTAGGATACACGTTATGAAGTAAAGAGTTACCCTTCAAGAATCTATATATTAGGAAGCCGAATAAATATGTAACCTTATGGTATTAATATTAATGGTAAAGTCGACAATGCCTTTTGAAAATGGTGTTATCCGTTAATTGATGACACAATTTCCGATGTAGAATCTCAAGAAACGCTTATGTACTTGATAGATTGGCTTAGAATTCAATATTAGGCAATTTTCATAATAAGAAATCGTCTGTTTCGAGATTTAAGGACCTACGAAATTTCCGAATCGGGCATTTTTTTTGCTGTTCCGAGTCATTCATTATTTTTGGTTATACAAATCTAACTGAAAAAGTGCAGATACATTGTTATTCGAAGGGCGCGTAATTTTTTATTAAAAGCAACGAAAATTTGACAGAAATCAAGTTTTTTATTTTGATGTTTTTACGTTTTGCAAACTCCAAAGTACAGCTCTTCCATCTTCTTAACAATACTAATTTGCGTGAAACACCGAAATTTGAAAATTCATTACGTGTACGACTTTTATAGGTACACAATGAAGATAGACGTGACTCTTTCATTATTGTTTTAGGTTAAACTTTTTCATTATGTTGCAAAATTAAGGATACGCGCGCGAAAATGAAATTTTGACTTGATTAACACGTGATCGAATGATTTGTGGCTAAATTATTCTAATAAAAGATCATAATTATTAAAAAACTTGGTTTTCTTTGTCTACTTGAAACAATAACCACGTATCACTGTCCGACTTTTTTCGCCTGATAATCTTCCTCTTTTGTCAGTATGGGTGACCCTAAACCTGTAAACGATAAGAAAAAGGCATTTGGTAAATGAAGTAGTACGAATTGTACCTCGACACAACAGAACAACAGATGCAAGAAGGCAAAAAATGAAGCATGAAATCTGGAAGGATCCCATTTTGTCTTGGTTTTCAAAGTCTTTTTCATTCATTTCGAATCCTTTTCTCTGCATATATTACAACATTGTGCAGCAGCATTATTCAATGACGACCACCACAACAGCAACAGCAGCTACACATTATCTTTTAGAAGCATTGTTAACGATATTCATTCAATTACCAACACAGCGCATACACATTAATGCATTCATTCATTCGATTGTCTAACTCTCGTCTCACTAATATCTTTCTTTAACCGGTAGAAAAATGACACAAGTTTCTTTTTAAAGTCTTTTGATTTGAGGGGTTCTGTTCTGTCACGCATTATCAATAAAAAAAAAGGTTATGGAAGAGGTAATCGTCTTGAAAATCCCAAAGAAAACTTTAACCGCGTTCAACAGACTAACCGCACGAGGCATAATAAACATAATAGATATAATAGCGAATTGTGCAATGTCTAACTTTCTTTTCGGGTGGTTTTCGAAAACATGGTAAAGATGTGCAACACCAGATTATGCTTCAATAAATATTTGGGCAACCGAGATAATAGTTAAAAAATTCTGATTATTTGAATTTATATTGACTCCCGATTTGTCATTCGTAATAATTTTATTTCCCAAGAGAGAAAGTCTAGTGAAATTACACGCGACTATCAATTCTCTATTAAATATTCTTGTATGTTTTACTCTCCTTTTTTTTTTCTTTTTTTCTCCATCCTATCCGATTTGAGACTTGTTCTGCAATCATTGTTTTCGGTCTTCCCCTTCAGCCTAATATTGTTTTCGCATTGTCTACTGACGCCATCTATATAATTCAACGCGTGCCAATTACGTCGTTGTTTGTCTTTCCAAAAAGCGAGCACTGTTTTTTCGTTATTTTAGAGCAAGAATGCAACTTTAAAAATTACGCCCCTTAATTGATATTTCATTTAGTGAGGTATCATTGTTCGGAAAATAGACGCGCGTTAAATTACACGTAATAGATATATTGGTAGATTCTTTTGTTTTGCGAAATTTTATTCATGCAAGGAATATTTTAAAAAAAAGTAATACAAGAAAAATTCGGCGAAAAAATTCGGCACAAAAAAAAATTCAAAATTTGTCTTCACCTCTCTATATATATATATACGAAAAATGCATTGATTTGTCAAAATAGTCAATCGTTTCTAATGCTCTGGTTTATAAGGGACCTTTAGCTCGGTAAGATGTGTGTCTTTCCCTCCAATTTCAAATAAACAGGTGTTGACTTGAATATTGAATATGCAGATCGATGCATGAATCTTTAGTATATAATATTTTTTCTATAATGACAAAGTTTTTTTATTTTTATACATTATACGTATATTACGTTTTTATTTTACTTTATTAATATATATTATGATTTTGAGATGACATAATTACACTACATCATAAAAAATACACACACCTAGAACAAATTTTTTTCACGTGACTCATAAAGACAAACTTTTAATTCTAACTAATCGTTTTTAAGACAATCACTAGAGTTCAATTGATAAAAAATTAAATAGCTATGCTCGTTTCTGTTTCCACAGCCATTGCATTGTACTATCTTGGTAAAATACATTTCGCTCACATTCGTGTCTGCCTACTAACTATCCTTTAGTAGCTGTGGGTTGGCAAGAGTGAGAGAAGTTCAGTTTGTTAGCGAAAACCACCCGAAGACTTACCTTTGAGGTGGCATTATGCCGTGGTTTTTCTTCCCTTTCATCATCTAACCACATCCCACCCTTTAGAAAATTTCGTCCTTTTTTTTCGTCATTCGTGTTTACCAAAGACCACTAATAAAAACTCAATATAATATTACACAAATAGAAAATTAAAAATGGCGTATGTTCCCTCTTCGAATAGCGTCAGAGAAGGCACGCATCTTTCCGCGTCGTCTCAAAGAACTAGAACTCGTCCATTAAAACGTATGCGAACAAGTAATCCTGTAGTCGCAACTTCCTCAAGTCTAAATATTAACACTACTACAACTACCAATGCAACTCACAACGATCACCACAGTGACAACAACAACAGCCACTACTACACAAACCACAACCAGAATACTAATAACTACAACGATAACAATAATACACCCAAATGGTTAAACCTAGTTCTCAATGAGGACGAAGTGGATCCGTGTAGTGAAACCGAACCTTACTTTGATTCACACGAGCATGAGCCCTCTCGTAAACATAAATATAGTAAAAATAAACAACCGGTTTCTTCTTCTACAACCACTACTCCTGATAATAATTCCACTCCTTATGTCTTTAAATCCGTCAATCCCGGGCAAAATTATTCACAGCCTGATTCTTATCATTCCCCTGAAAGACATGCTTCCATTTCTTCATCCTCGACCATTTCAAGTATCTCCACATGCACAAGCACCTGCACTCCACTCTTATCCGAAGAACAAGTTACAAAAATTATAGAAATGTTGGGCGATGCATTAGAAGAAGTCAAGATTCATGTCTGGCGAACGATTATCGATACTAATGAAAATGGTAAGTCCAATTTCCATGATATAGATATGTGTATACATATGGGTATCTATATATATATCTATATATCTATATATGGGGTGAAGTCAGTAGAAAAGGGACAATAGAATTTATCCCTTTTCAACTGACTTCACCCCTTACACACACACACACACACACACACACACACAATGTAGTGAAAGGAAATTAATTCGTGATTGGGTAAAGGGAGCAGATCAATTAATTCGCGATTTATACATTTATATATCTATCTATCATTCATTAATTGATTAACCATTTAATTACAGATAAAAACATTCCACCAACATTTCTTCAAGAGTTTAATAAACTTTTGAATGAGACACCGCTGCCAAATCCATCAGCTGTAAAACCGCAACATATCACAAATCTATCACATTTAAGATCTGAACTTTTCGGATTACAACCAAATATTTCTTCATCGTCTGATACAAATTTTTATCAACATGTGTTCAACTTTTACTGCCAAATGACTGCTTTTTTGACCGTGGCTCAGATGTTCTTTGAAGTGGTGGTCAATGATTTTCTATGCGAACGCGAACAACCCAACGAAAACAGAAAACAAATATTAGAAACATTCATGGGAATATTTCAAGATGAAGACAATTTCCTTATTAATCCACTTATACCAACTTCATCGATTATTTTCAGTAGTACTCATAATTCTGATGAATTGGATGCGTTCATTTGGTATTACAGACTACTAGTAGCACGCGATTCTTTGAATTACCCGTGCGATCTTCCCCAACGATTACACGCATTTGCGATTCGGTTCACAACTCTCGACGCGATTGAATCAATATTATCGATATTTTACACAAAGTATTTTTTGAATGTGTTTGCAAAAGAGCATCAAAAGGACCACGGCCAATTCTACACTCCAAGAGAAGTCATGAGATTCATGTGGGATCGAGTCTTACTTTCTAGTCATTCTTGGATGGAGAAATTACTTCGTGGGCCTCCACATACTTTCGATTCTGCTCCGCATCCAAGTCGACATGAGATTGGATTTAAACCGTTCGCTCCTCGAGTGCTTGATCCTTGTATGGGAATAGGTTCCTTCCTATGTGAATATATCAATCGACTCACTTACGCAGCTAGTCGATTTCCGTCTGTATGGAAACAACCGGAAGCACTTTCGCATCTTCTTCAATCTCTTGCCAATAATCTTTGGGGTATAGAAATAGATTCCTTTGCGTGTCATTTATCAAAATTGAACATTTTACTTCATATGTTGCCTATTTACAAGCAATTTCTTCAGTTATCACCTGCTGGCACGATTAAATTGAGAAGATTAAATCTCTTTTGTAATGATACATTGAATTTATATCTCCCAAAACCGGCGCTTGCATGGGAATATGATAATTTATTATTACTCCGTACCCCAGACCGACTTAAATTTGATTATATCGTCACTAATCCACCATATATGATAAGAAAGACTGGTTTCATTTCTGAACCTGATAGTGAACTATTTGATGAAAGAGTTCTGGGAAAAGGTGGAATGCAAGCTTATGCTTACTTCTTTTGGTTTTGCGTGGAAAGATGTAAAGAAGAACACGGTGAAATCTGCTTGATTAGCGGTAAGTATTTTTTTTTTTCACTTTTCATTGTCATTAAAAAAAAACACTTTATTTAATAACCGGATTAATTAATTTTAGCGAGTCAGTGGATGGGACTAGAATTTGCGGATAAACTAAGGTAAATTAACAAAAAATTCATTTTTATGCATGACGAAATGCAACGTTCGCTAAAAAAGAAAAAAACATAATTCCTTTTTGGAAATTTAGAGCCTGGATATGGCAAAGATGTCATCTCGTAGAATTTTTTCAATTCGAACCATTTAAAGTTTGGCGTAAAATCCAAACGGATTCCCTTATATTTCGTCTTCGCCGTCGAAGAGAATGCATACCAGCGAATAATCAAATGATAACCGCACCGCACTCATCTATTACCAATCTAGAGCCATTTATCCTTTTTTTGCGTTATATGAATCGTAAAGCAACTCTACAGGAAACGTTGCATGCGTATGCAAGTTTCGATCCGGATATCGCCAATAGCTTTGACAAAGATATGCATTACAAATTGACAGCACCTTATCCAAGCACGAAATTACCTCCTTCTTCCACTAATTCTTATTCGTTCACTTTTCTCATGCCAACTTCCGCCGTGAGTGCCTATCTTCATTCTATAACCGCAAAGCTTCCCTCTCTTTGCGATCATTCGAGCTTAAAATCTACATGGTCAGAGCTAAATCCGTTAATATGGCATAGAGGACCGAATACAAATCCAGTCTATGCGCTCGTAGTTCGTACAGCATGGGCATACTCAAAATTTGGACCCGAAGTTTGTGGGAGATGGCTTCGTCCTGTATTCTATTGGAATGGTAAAAATGGTGGAAAAGAAGCAGAATTTTGGGGAAAAATGGGTGACGAATTACGTCTAGAAAAGAAAGAGAGTTCACCAGCCGAAGCATACGTTCCGTTATTGGGAAATAGTGCCGCTGCAGCTATCATGAAAGATAAACAAGACCATGAAAAATCTATCTACTCTTTAATCATGGTGGATCGTGATGGAGTCGATAAAATAAGAAAAGAAGTTGGCGAAGACAGTGACTTTTGGTACTATTTGAAGGAAGCGAGAAAACATTTACAAGCTGGAATGTCTTCAAGAGAAATCGTATATTGTGGAACGAGCAAGTGTGGGTGAGTTGAATTTTTCGCTGATATCAAATAAGGGTAGTTGTACAAACGCGTAAAGATATACTTGGCAAAGATTTGCAAAGCAAAAAAAAAATAAAATTTCGCATACAATAATAATTGTGTTTTTAATCTTAATCGAGAATGCATACTGTATACATAATCCAACAATTACATATAATTTTCTCTTTCTCTTTTCGATCTATAGAGTAGACGTGCGAACCAAGATTATCCACCCGATCAATTATGGATATTTTTCCAAGAATCAGGTGCATTTTTGTTTTTAACGGGTTATTTTTTTTTTCCTTACTTTAAATTCTTTGTCAGTCAGTCAGTCAGTCATTTGGTCATTTAGTCAGTTCGTCTACATAATAAGGAACTCTTAGAAGGGCTATTTCTTATTAACAATTGACTATACTACATTTATCTTATAATTAGCCGCGTCAACGTTTTTTCATTGATGAAAACAGCGTATGTGTGACTAATCAAGTAAGGATAGAAGAGACAATTTTACTCTATTATTGTCTTTTCCTTATAAATACCCAACATTCTCGAATTAACGTCATCATGGCATCTTAATTTCCGTATCACCCCCAAAAATTGCCATCACACTTTTCTTCTCGATTAAATAATCAATAGTGCATTTACTTCACCCTCAAGACCACCACGGAATTATCGTCCTATTTCTTCCTTGGTTTACTTAATTCGACTACGATCCAACACTTTTTATCGCATCATTGTAAATACGATCAGCAAGGACGAATGAGGTTATTCCGAGAGAGTATGGCAAAAATTCCTTATGCTCCACCTAATGATTTGGTGGGAGCAAATTGGTTCTCTGAATGCGTAGAGAAAATGATCTATGTACGCAAAATGTTATTTGAAGGAATTCGATTATGCGATGATGAAGATAAAGTTTCAAGCGCCGTAGTAGAAAAATTAAGACGAGGTGCATGGCAATTAACAGGTCGGGAGTGGCAGGAGAAAGAGAAGGATGGTGAAGGAGATGAGACAAGCGTCGTATTACGAGAAGAGCAAGAAGGCAATTGGGTCATGGTTAAAAAGTGCCGAGGACGAGGCGATGGCGTAGAATACTCGCTCTATCCTGAAGTTGTACCAAGATCAATGGAATTAGGAGATCATTCCGTCTCTTCTACATCGTTACGCCAACTAACTAATAATAATTATCATCATAGCACTATAGCGACGGTAGATATTGATATGTTGAATGGAGTTCAACATTCGCGACATCATCAGCACCAATTACCAGGAGGGAGTAGCAGCGGTAGTAGTAACAGTAGCAGCAACAGGTACAATACAAATAAAACACGCATAATGAAACCATTCTTTGAATCTCTTCTTCACGCATCGGCATGTCTTCAATACACAATTGATCAATATGTATACTCGTTATATGGGATCGACACCAATTTCCAAATAGCATTGGAAGAAGATTTAAAACTGGAAATATTTGAAGTAATAACAACCACTTATCCAAGATGGAATGGCTCATCGTCATCTGCATCATCACCAACAGATAGTAATCTAATGACACATAGTAATAGTGTTGCTGCTTCTTCCTCATCGTCGTCTTCATCGTCTTCTTCATCGGCGTCAGCATCATCACCACCTGATGGCATTGATGGAAATGAAATGGAGACGATAAGGGGAAAGATACCAGAATGGGGTGAAAAGTTGATCCGAGAAGTTGAACAAGCGATCAACGAAGGGGAGAATTTGTTAAGACATAAAGGAGTGAATATCTCAACGAGTACAAGTGTATAATTTTTTTACTTTAACTTTCGTAAAAAATTTCGTTTGTTGGATCAAATGCTTTATTTTTCGCTCCGAATACACATATATTTCATTCGATATATTATGTCTTTTATATTCATTCATAATGGCGGTAACAATAATATTATTATACTTTCTCGTATGCAAGAAATAGTCCGATTAGTATTTTCGGTATTGTAGGCGTCTCACAAAGATTTCTGGGTCTCCTTTTTTTTCACTATTTCTTTTTTTAATATTAGTTTGCCCCGCTTACCGCGATCATTTCATTTTTCGTATTTGTGGTATTGTAATCGCACATCTTTCTGTACGCAACTGCAATGCGGAGAGGTATCTAGGATTGCATTTCATTTTAATTTTTGCACCGAGAATTTTACGATGCAGATCCAGTTTTATTATGGTTTTTATTATGGAACAAACACCTCCTTTTTCTTTTATCTTTACTACTATTACAAAAAAACCTTACTTATTTTTATACACGTACGCTCACACACACTTCTTTTTCTTTGATTAGAATATAAGATCTAAAATAATAATTATTACAAAAAAATAGTTTTTAGGCAAACAAGGACAATAATTAAGTTGGTGTTACTTCTACTATTATTTCTACTATTACTTACTACTACTAGGCTAGGAGGCGAAAAACGAAACTAAGACGAGAGAATTCATTTCATTTCATTTCTTCTTGATAGCCGCTGTCCGACAGACAGCTGGTATTCGTCGTTTGGATTCATCCGTTTTTCAATCTTAACATATGATTCTTTATTGTTAAATTAAAAAAAATGAGAAACACACACACACACACACATACACACGCACACACAATGTTAATTACTCAAAAAAAATAAAATGACCTCTAGTGGATAAATCCACACACAAAAACAATTAATGTAATTGAATTTTTTCTAATCTGTTTATTAATTGATGGATGATAATACAATCGGAAAAAATAAAAATTTAAAGTTATATTGAAAACTGGAAAAAAATCCTGTACAGGTATAAACATACACATGTCAACCAACAATGGCGTACACAATAGTTACGTTGACCGAGTCTATTATAATCGTACATTAATGTAGTGTCCTCGCATTTTAATAAAAAAAAAAATGTGCGAGAATCTTTGACCTCCATTGTGCCATTGTTATGTGTTGTTTGTTTGTTTAATACTAGACCTAGGCGAGTAAATTTAATTTAATGTGTATGTCATACAAATAAAGATTCGATCACAGGTGAAAATTACTGTCAGATTTAGGAACCGTAACTTCTTTGTTGATCAGATCATAAATGATTATAAACAAATGCATAAGCAAGAGATGAACAAACATATGTGGGCGGGGATTTTCAACTTTCTTGTATATGTATGTATGCCGTGTATATCCTCTCTTTTAAAAGTTGGGAACAGAGGAATTTTCAATGTGTTACTCCATTTTACGCTAAAGAAGGATTTGATAAACACTATACATTTTCCATGAAATAATGTCAACAATGTCTTACTATTGTTGGCGATGCTATGTTTAATAACAAAAAGCAAAATCAAATAAGTAGCATCTCATTTTCAATAATTGTGCAATGTAACTCATATTGTGTGCGTTTTGTTTGTTCCTTGATCCATCACGTCTCTTCATATCTTGTTACGTACAACTTTCATGTGACTCGCAGGGGAGTACATACTCGTTCAATTTTTTGACCGCCAGAAATTTCGGTATTTCACAGACAAAGGGCCGCGCAGTAATGACGTTGCTTTGATCATGAATAGCTAGATGCGCATGCGTGAATTTGGCGACCTTCATATGCTTTGGAGGTGAAATTGAGCTTCGTGGAAGGGAAAAGAGCAAATTATTAGATTACCTAAACAAAGGCTGAGTTAGATAATGGCGAATGTGCATCTTGTCATCTTTAGGCATTCAACACAAAGAAGTAGCGTTTGGTATGACATTTTGTCATTGTCGACCAATTTCATCTTTTGTAAAGTATCCATGAAGATTTCTCTTCATAGTTATAGTTATTAAGCAAATTTTTTGTGAAAAGTTCAGGCAAAGAAGCAATTGAAAATAATATCTTTATTCACAAAAGACCAATCTTTTTTATTCAATTGAAATTAATTTACGAATTCTTAGACTTACTATTTATAGCATCATAGACATTATAGGCAATAAACAAAGACAAACCCGGTAAACCGACTATTAAAGGAAAAGATTCGGTTTATTTACTATAGCTGTTCTTGGAACCAACTTCGGTTTATCAAGTTTTAATTAATTGGTGCTTTGAATTATGGAGCTTTGCAAAAAAAGAACTCTCGTAATTAATTTATTAAATTTCTTGGTGTCAATGCACAATCGATGTATTATCCCGTCATTCACTATACATTATTAATAATCAGCTTTTAATATTCAAAGAGACCAAATTTTGATTTCTCTTTTTTTGGGGGGGGGGGGGATTTCATCTGAAAGTGCAATTATTATCGGTCGTGGTGTTACAATGAAAGTTGTTCAAAAAAGCTCAAATTTTCATATGATAATCGGGAGAAGTTTCTTGCGTTATAAAATGTAATGGCAAATCGTTTACCACAATTCTATTGTGAAGACTAGAGCACATATAAAGTTTTTTTTTTTGTTTGGAAAGTGTCCAAATAATTGATTGTTATCGTACTAAAGGGTTCGCCTTTTTTCGATAAATTTGGTAATTTTTAAAATACTCGTTTTGAATATGATACTAATAATAAATAAATAAATTTTCTCAAAGAATGTTAAATTCAACTCGATAAATAAATAAACCATATTTACTCAAAATCGCCAATCGATGTGATCAAGTAAAAATACAACTACATTTTCATAACCATATAAAGCACACTTTGATGAATGTCTTGAGAAAAGTTGATATGCTTACGATATTAAGACAGAAAGAATTGATTACGTCAAAAGGAGTCACATTACATTGCACCTAGAACGGATGGTTCCAAGAATGGGGTTTAATATTTGTTTTTCCACCAAGAAAATAATTATTATTGCTTAGTTCGATGTATATGCGAAGCTGTTATTGTTAAATCAAAAAGAAGGAATAACTGGTTTTCATATGCAAAAGTACAGAGACGTGAAATAAATAATGTTGAGTGAATCTATTTCAGCGCCTCAAATACATAATATGGGCATAAATGGTGTAAAGCAAATATCTCGATTATGAAAACGAATCTGTTTAAAAGAGAAAAATTAGCTTCCTTTTCCCGGCGGAATTTGTTGCTGTGAACATTATACTATGGATACAAATGACATATTGTATGAAATTTTGTCATTGCGGGTATTGGTAGGATCCTGAATATCTAGGTTGAATTTTGAGCTAAACGTTTGTTGAAATACACTTTTAAAAATTTAATCAGTCAGTTAAAATTTAATCAAAGATAGGCTATGGTGCGTAACATCTAAAGTCATCAAACGTTTGTATTTTATAAAATGGATAAACTTCTTTAAAAGTAGACACAAAATTTAATCCGTGAATATGATAGAATAGGCATATGGTGCATACCATTTAAAGTCATCAAATGTTTGTATTTTATAAAATGGATAAACTTCTTTACTAAGAAGTAAATACAAAATTTAATTCGTAAATATGCTCAGAAAGGATTTATTCTATCTTCTTAGTAAAGAAGTTTATCCGTTTTATAAAATACAAATGTTTGATGACTTTAGATGGCATGCACCATAGTCACATATTAAATTTTGTATTTACTTTTTAATAAAGAAGTTTATTTTATAAAATACAAATATTTGATGACTTTAGATGTTATGCACCATATAATTAAATCCCTTTATAATTATCATTATTATAATATAAAAATCAAAATCAGCTATAATAAAATCATCTTTTTATAATTATAAAAAGAGTTTATTATATAATTAATTTTTATACAGTCACACTATTGAAAATATAGTAACTTTTTTTTCGAAAATGTGCTTATAGAAAGATTGTGACTATATAAAGATTTTTTTATAAGTTTAATAGTAACAGTTTTCAAATATAATATATTTATAAAGAGATTTTTATATAATATACTTATAGAAATAACTATATGAAAATTCTAAACAAAATTAATATAATATTAATAAAATAATTTACAAAAGTAGTATTTTATTATTAAAATTTATTACTAATAGTAAATTAAAAATTTTATTTTATTAAATATTTTAAATTTTATTAATAAAAATAAAAATATAGTTTTGTATAAATTTTTAAAAACTAAAATTTCTGTGCAAATTTATAAATATAGCAATAATAAATAAAGTAATTTTTTAATAAATAAATAATATACTATTATTATTTTATTTTTATTATATATTTTTTTTTAAAATTACAATAATATCTTTTTTCTTTCTTTCTTATATTTTTATCTAATAACAATAATTTATATATATTTTTATTTAATTATTATTATATTATTTTATATTTAAGATCTTATTAATATTTATTTTGTTTATTATTATATTAATTTAATTAATAATATATAAATATTATACAAAATTTATTTTAATATTATATAATAATTATTGTATATTAATATATTTTAAATTTATTATTTCATATATAAATAATATATAAATTATCATAACTTAATTTTATTATATAATATAGGATTAATATAAAATAAATTATTCTTTATTTTTTATCTTTTGTTTTTTTATTTTTTATTTGTTTTGTTTGTTTTTGTTTTGTTTTGTTTTATCTTTATTTTGCTCTTGTTTTATTTTATTATTATATTATTTTTTATTTCTTATAATATATTTTTGTTTTTAACTTATAATATATATTTAGTTTTAGTTTTGTTTTTATTATTATTTAAATCTATTTAATATTTGATTTTATTTATATTTTTATCAGTTTATTATTATTAATTATTTACTATTATTATTTATATTTTTTATTAAAATCTATTATAAATATAATTATAATTTATTATTTCTAAATATTTTTATATAAAAAACTAAAAATAATAATAATATTTT